GTATGACTGTGCGTGACTCTCTAGTACAGTCGGCTAGTGGACAGCTATTCTTCAGATTTTTCTTTCATAATGATAAACAAACTCTAAGCGCACATCTAAATACATTCGATTAATCTATTGACACTATGTATACTTGATATGTGATCTCAATTGCATTGACCATCAATACATCTGGTTCATGTTGACAGACGGCACCAGTCAGTCAAAAAGAAGTACCAATCCCAAAGTGAAAACTATATTGCACTAATGTTTCTCATGCAAGCCTGTTACATGTAGACGTCTCTCAACAAAAGTAAAAACAGCCGTCACTGAGGTTTCTGTTTTTAGCGTCCACTTAGTCTACGTGGTTGTATTGGACCGCCGCAGCCAGGGGAAACAAGACAACCTTTAAGAAGATCCAGGATTTTGGTCAGAACTGACTCTTGATAAAACATCACTTTTTTTTTTTTTAAAGAAAGATAGGCTAGTGGAATGTGGAGTTTGAATGAGTTGATATAAAACGACAGGAGGATGTGAGACTGTCTCCCCTGGATGAAGTCAACATTGCTTGTAGCAGCATACGATTACTTTTGAAGTCACATCTTCATTGTACAATACATTTTAATGTAATTAGTTGTCATAATGCAGCAGATTTAAATGTAGATATGTGGTACTGATCTGCATTTCGTCCTTTACATATTTCTTCCTCCACTTGAATTTGGACACTGAAACCCTCAGGGCCGCCTGATATTTCATTTGATTTCAGCACTGTGAATGAAGCGCTTGAGATTTTAGCCAACAAACCTCCCGGCAGGAGAAGAATCCCAGGCTTCCAGGTTTCATTGTTTCTCTTCTTCAGGACACAAGAATAAGTTCCTGTGTCCTCTTTTGTCAAGTTGATGATCTTTAGCGCAAAGAGCATCTTGCTCTTGCTGATTAATTTGAACCGTCTCTTGTCCACTCCATTCCCGAATATGATCCGGTCAGCATGGTTGCCCTGGCCGATGAACTCCATTTTGCTGTTGTTGGAAATGCTTCGGAACCAGTAGACGGAGTCACAGACCACGTCAGCGCAGTCACACTCAATAGACAGGGAACTGAGGATCTCGGGATAAAGAACACTGAGAGGTTCCTGCAGCAGGGTCTGGCTCAAACCTAGGAGTGGAAATAGAGATATGATTGAGATTTCAAAAACCACATTGAACAACTGCTAAAGTCCAGTATGGGAGTTCAGCCTCAACAGTAACAGTCAGGGCTCTAAAACACTTCAACGAAGTCAAGGCCGAACACCTAAACTCCTTAGAGTTGTATGTTATCCCGACAGGGTAACTTTTAAGATGTCTCAAAGCAAGTTTTCGATCACTTGCTGTGTACATTTTTAAGTCACAGCGAAAGGCACTCTTTCTGCCGAACACAATAAGGCTAATTGTGAAAAATGTAAAAGCTCGGACAAGTATTCATTCTTCGAGCTAGGCAGAGGGTACATTATAAAATGTTGTAGAAACACAACAACAATCACCAAAAGTGTTGCAAGAATGGAAATTAAGTTGAACTATGAAGACATTTGTTGTACGTATTTCAAACTGTGACATTTTGAAAATAATGCGTATATATGTGGAGATTGCGTTGTCATTTATGTTTAAGGGATTTTATTTTAGAATCAGTTCCATTGCCTGTTTTGTGTGTTTTCAAGTCAGAAATGTAGGCATATATACCTGTTGCAATCACTAGTCTTATGAAGTATGTAAAGATAAGTGGAAATTCAAAGGCTCCCAATGTACGAAAGGTTAACTCAAGTCGTATAGAGACTGATTTGTTTAAATGCACACATTACGTAACGTTTAGGATTGCACCAAATTGTTTTAATCTTAAATCCAACACAGTAGAAATACCTATATATCAATGCCTTAATAGAGCTATTATATATATTGTTAATAAATGAATTCTAAGGAAATATACAATCGATACCGACCTACTGAAAAACACAAACAGGTAGGGTATTATCCTCATCATTTATCACCACCGTACCTTCAATCCATATTTGAATACATTGATGTTAATTCATACAAAATATCAATAACTTATACCAGTGTATTTTGTACTCTTATGAGATATGAAACAAATGTAACATCCGTAGCCATTTAGCTATAGATTTTACAAAGGCACCAAAGGCATAAACTTATTGAAACCTTGCCGTCTTTTTGAGTATTAAAAAATCACCTCAAATGTCAGCACAAACTTTGGTTAGGGCAGTATTTGATGAATGTAGACATAATTTAAGATAAATCACTGGAGCTTAAGTTTGAGTAGTCAACAACACATCCCTCGCTACAGGCCCTAAGTGAGTTATGATGAGAATAACGCCTGAGGCTTAATAAACAACTGAGAAACTGAGAGTCTTACCCAACGACCACAGAGAAACCGTCCACAGTGTCCATGCCAGCGGCAGCAGGGTCATTTTGTCCAGTCTCCAGTACGTGTGTTCGTACGCGTCTGTAGCTGTGTAGCAGAGGGACGCTTCTGATACTTTCTTTTCCTGCTGTCTGTCTGTCACATATGATGGGAGGAACTGAGCTGAAAGGGCCCTGAGTCGTCAAGGTAACACCCAAGTGTGACACACACAGGGCCTATCAGAGTGGGCCGTACACACACACACACACACACACACACACACACACACACACACACACACACACACACACACACACACACACACACACACACACACACACACACACACACACACACACACACACACACACACACACACACACACACACACACACACACACACACACTGAGCAGTAAAAAATACTTAATGTGTGCATTAAACAGACAACTGGCCTATTGTGTTCTGAATATCCGAACAAAAACGTTTTGAACATTCTTGACTCCCCTCAAAAACATACCTGACATACATACAGTGATGCCAAACATCTGAAGACGTGGTAATGTCTCATCAGAGTTTATATCCACACCACATAAACTCTGAAAAAAGTTGATATTCAGGGAGCAGCAGCGTGCATGGCTGTGGTCTCTGCCCAGGTGCATGACCTAGAGCTCAGCAGAGTCCTACATACGCAGCTTCATGCCTTCCTGCAGAGCACGGAGAGGGAATACCAGCACGTGCCTGAAGCTTAACTACTCGAAACGGAGGATCAATGATAAACCCTAATTCAAGATTTTCCAGATTATTGTTAAATATACCTACTTCTTTAAATTGGCGTATACTTGGCTTCTTTTGGGTAAGTATGGGGTATAAGTTCATCAACACACACATTAAGAAAGCACTCATTTACATTCTGAATATTGTCACTTCTCCAAGGTACATTTGGATTAATTCAATCACAAGTAATACTTCAATAATTAAATCAATTGTTTTCAATTAAACTAGATAAATTGATAGTTAGTTTGAAGTTTTTCAGTTCAACTATTAAAACAAAAGTGCATTTCTCTAGTTGACTACTTTTTTTTATCCCAAATGCTTATACAGATAATAAGAAGACTTTTGTTTTATACATCTCCCTAACAAAATAGAAGAATACTTTCCGTAGAAATGAGTTTGACAGTTGAAGTTTTGGCAGTTTTGTGGCAAGCGGTCTTTATTCTGTCCTGAGTGACAATGCAGGGTTGACAGGCCGATGTACAGGGGTACGCTAGATACATCTCATCCCGTAGCTACAGACGTAGCACAGGAAGACAGCAAAGTTAACTTTTGACAACATCTGACTTTGGAATGAGTCTATCAGGACAATTATTTTCAGCGTTGTCTAATTTGCCTAATAATTGATGAATCAGAAATCAGTAATAATACAAAATTAGATAAAAATTACAACTTCCAAAAGCAGGGGGTCTTCAAATTATTGCTAAATACCTGTCTAATAAATTCAGGAACTTAATTCATAATTATAAAACAGCTTGGACTTATGAATGGTGTTTTCGTTCCATGAGGGAATCAACAGGAAACTGATTATCAAAATTGTTGTTGATGTATTTCATTTAAACCAATTCACTTTTACATAACTCACTTTAACTATAAAATGTTACAATTCAGTTGTGTTTGGATATTCTCTATACTGTTGCTGATCTCGACTCAAACCAAAAATACTCTCCCAGTGATTTTTTGAGCAGTACTGTATGACTTGCACAGGTACACTGCATTAGATTGCTGTTCATATCCGAATGAAACAAACCTTATATTGAGTTATTTACCCCACATGAAAGATATACGTCCCATTTAACAGCTAAAGAGAGGACTGAGGGTTCAACTGTCTGGTTATGCCTTGAACTCTCCATGATGAACCTAATGATCACTTAAATAATGAGTGTTGTCTGTGGATTGTCTTGTTTCTGTATTATTTAGTGTTGTGTGAAAAGTGAGGGCGGAGAACGGTCTGGTGAGGGTCTTAAAGTCGGAGGATGTGGGCACCTTATACCTCTACGGGGGTCTACGACACGAGCGAGATAGGGAACGAGACCACAGGATTCTTTGAAAACTCAGAGAGCTCAGGAGGCTTCAGAGCTGCTCTACACCTCGCCGAGCTGTGAAGCCTTTGTTGGTCTGCTGCTCCGACGCTTTAAGTCAAAGCCGCCTTCATTTAATTTCTCTACTGCTTTCAACACAGTTTTATGAAAAGTTCAGCATTTTCAGACTCACATTATGTCCATGTCTTAGTATGTGTCACAAACGGTTTAGTGGTTATCATTTGCAGAACCTTACCTAAAGTCCAAACTTCATGTAAGAGGCTTTTCATCCTAAAGGCCTATACAGAAGTCTTTGCAAAAGTTATTGAACGTTAACGCACACTAGCAAGCTGTTTCATGCATGTTTTTGATTTACTGCACTACTTTGGCTTGATTCCTGGTTTAATCCTCCTGTTCAAACACGCCACATAATGTGCACCAATCAGCTCTCAGGATCCTAGTGCGATCAAATATACAGCAATACATCACACAAATGCCAAATGTCAAAGTAAGTAGACAGACTGTCAAGAAAGTCTTCTACAAATAAGTACAAAATATGTGTTTTAAGGATATTTAATTTGTGGGCCTGTTTAGGCAGTTCTTTATTTAACGTATTGTAGATATCAGAATACTTAAGTCTGAGTGCATAATTGCCTGCCAACCTAAAACTTTCCACAAAATATCTTTGTTTTAAGCCAAAGTAGGTAAGTACACGGCCTTAGATAGGACATTGCATAGAAGGTTTGAAAAGTGGTCCACAAACCACCCAGCAGATAGTGTAAGAAAAAAGAGCTGTTCAAGGACAATACATTCTTTTAAAAATAAGTTTGCTGTGCCAAAAAGGCTCGCCTAGCCTCCGTGTTTTGACTCTTAGGGATATTTTTTTACTTTTCAGGATTTATTAAGAACAACTATGTAGTTTGGAGTGGATCCTTATGAGTTGAGAAGATGTTTCAGTCATCTTTAAACTGCCTCCGTACAAGTTATCACAGACTGCATGTGAACATATGAAGTTTGTGAAGAGCTGACCTCATTCGAACTGTTGCACCTGTCTGACCCCAAACACTGTATGGGCTGCAAAAACATCCCAACACATGCACACACAGCACTACAGACTGAAGCAATGTCTTTGTGCAATAGTTGTGATGAGAACCAGAACTGGCCATATTTGCATCTTTCTAATACATCCAACATGCGCTGAACCCGTCTATGCTGGCCTCCTTTCAGCAGATGTTACTCTGAGTAAAAGCACACGGAGCTTCAAAAGAAATGAAAGGACTACTCTTCTAACATCTGTGTGCTTTTATTTGCTTTACTGATGCTGAGTGAAGCTCGACAGTGCCAACCACAGGCTGCTGAAGGCATCACAGTCAGCAGCCCAGACAGAAACATATCGATGTGTTGAGAGGTGAAGAGAACTTCCTGATCATTTAAAATTAAGGCGACAAAAAAAATAAAAATAGATCACCAGTAAATAAAGATGTGCAAATGAACTAAATCAACAATATCATTTTGTGTCATAGAGAAAAATAAAGTATTGTAAAATACTGTAAGAATTTTCTTCAAACAATAACAGAAACATAAATGAGCTAAACATGGCTAGCCAGCTAGCACACCTATGGAGAACAACACTGTCGGAGTAGAAAGTAAACACTGCTTTGTAAACTGCTAATATTTATAACTTCTATGTTTTGCTTAAAATGTCAGCAGCTCAGCAGCCCAGGATGGAGTCGTCCCACAGCTTCTCCTCCTCTGTCCTTGTGTCTGCTGTCTCTTTTGTTTTCTTCTTCTCCTTCTTATTGTATTTAGCTTTGGACGTGTCTTGTCCTCCTTCCCCCTGCTCAACATTCATTTCAGCCTGAATATGTTCCTCTGTCTCTTTCCTGTTGTTCATCATGTCTCCTGGCGTCAATTTGTCCATCACCCTTTCCCCTCCTTCCGCTTCGAGGTCCTCCTCCTTTAATTTATTTTGCCGCCTTCTCCGCTTGCCAGGAGTTTTCCCCTTTTTCCTCTCTTCCCCCGACCCTCCTGAATCCTCTCTTCTCCCCTCCACTGAGTCATCATCTCTCCTCCGCTGCTGCTTCCTCCTCTTCTTGTCCTCATCTCTTGCTCTCCTGTCTCTCTCTCGTCTGGATCTTTTAATCCTCCTCTTTTCTCTGCGCCGGTGTTCGCTGTCACCACTGCCGCTGGTGCTGCTGCTATAAGAGGAGGAGGAAGATGATGATGAAGTATAGGAGGATGAGCTCGACTGATTTCTGTGCCTCCTCTTCCTAGTGGGCTGACTAGAGAAGAGAGGAGGACCTGGGAGGGCTGGAGGAGGGCGTTTGTAGTCCCAGCCATGGGACAGCCAGGAGGGGCCCTGATACGGAGGACGCCACCCTTCAACTGTGTAGTGACACCCAGGGCGGGAAGGGTGAGGAGGGTGAGAGATGGGAGGGGGGTTGGGCCTGAGTTTATTCAGTTCTAATATTTCCCCTTTGTTTAAGGCTTCCTCTTCTTCACCCTCCTCCTCCTCCTGTTGTGTGACTTGCCCGGCCTTGGGCTTGATTCCACGAGCTTTCTGAACCTGAATGAAATCTGCCAGTTCATCCGCAAACGTGCTGTAGTCTTTCTGTTGGGATTTGCAGAGGTGAACCACCTTCTTCTCCCTGGAAGACAACATGGAAACAAGGAATTAAGTAGATATGCAATTGTGTAATGAATGCTGATGTCCCACTTACACAGAAAACACAGTAAGAGCAATAATTGGTAAAAGCAAAATATGTGTAATATCTTTTCTAAAGGCTTTACCTTGTTTGGTAGAGATCATTTTAAATAAATCCCACCATGATCATTTGAATATAAATAAAGTAGTGGAAGGGTGTGTGAGTGCAGTGTTGCAGATATCATCTTACCTGATCTGGTGTTTGTTCCCCTGCATGTGGGCCTGGTACATCTCCACAGAGTTAAACTGGATGCTACACATCTGACACATCAGGGAGTCGGCTGTAGATAACAGAGAGTGGGTGAGGTGGCAAATGAGGAGGAAAATTCAACTTCAATAATCGAATAAAGCCCTCATAATCCTTTCTTTGAGATTCTAGTGAGTTTCTTACTTATGTTTACAATCATATTAACAATGAAGAATTCTCAACAAAAGACATGTTATACAGCCTACAAGTGAAAAAAAGGTTAAGAACCTGACACAAGAACCAAGGCTAACATTCTGCTACAACGTATTGTCTAACAAACTATGGTTTGACTACCGGCTTATACCAGTTTATTTGAGAAGGTTATCAAGCGAACACCTACCTGATGGGACAAGATGCTCACTGCTGATCAATGTTTCGCTTCCATTCAATTCCGATTTGATTATGGATATTTCGGTAACAACACAAATATAGCTAGTTATGAAAGAGATTCAAAGAGAACTCGTGCTGTCAAGTGTACAAGGAACCCTCTAGCCTCGTATGACTCTTCCTGCAGCGGTCAGGCTGCATAGCCACAACAGCCCCCGGTAGACCAGCACATTCACACAACAATAAAGACTACGACACGCCTGTTGTGAAATTACACCAACTTGCATTGATGTAAAAACACAAAAACCAACACAGACTACGACACACCTGATGTGCAATAAAACTTGTGTGCAATATGTACATTGGAAATGTATTATGAATGTTACTTATACATTGAAATAACTTTATTTTAAATATTATGTGCTGCCGTTTCTAATACTGTATTATTTTATGTGTCTATCTTTCCCTTTCCCCTCTGTGGGACACATAAAGTTATTCTGATTTTAAACATCTATAGATATATTAACGTCGACATTAAGAATGGACACATGTGCCACTAGGCTCGACCCCCTCTCTGTAATGTGAGACGCAGGACCCCGTGTTACCTTCTTGGACATTGTCTCCGAGGTCTTTGAGCAGGTCCTGTCTGGCCTGATTCCTCTGGTGTTTGCGTCCATTGTAGTGCTGCAACGCCATCTGGGGATTGTTGAAGGAGGCGGCACACAGGGCGCAGTACTTGTTGGGGTCCTTCAGATCAACATCCTTCTTCGGTGCAGTGTTGGGGGCCGTTGGGTCCAGAAGATGCTCCGTACCATCCTCTGGGAGCATCCTGTCTATAGCTGTGAAGAGAAATCATCCATTTAATACATATGTGTCGGACTTTCTGAAATGAAAGAATATCAGCCCCAAAATAACCATTTGTGAATCAATTACACACCTGTTGTGAATTCATGAAGAAACTTTTTTTTTGTATACCAGAGAACAAAACATTTTTTAAATGAAAAAGTCTCTAGAATTGATAATGCAATTTGCAGAATAATTAAAGTATCTTTTATCCTGTTTTCCTGTTGATACTGCCCTAATTTAATTAAATTAAATGTATTTGTTCTCTTTTTGGACACTCTTCAATAATTGTAGTTTAAGCAGGTAGAATAATTAATATATAAATGATTATTTTGTAATGATGCCTTTAAACAGAACGTAATCTACTGCTGGTGTGTAAATAATATAGATTACTTATTTACTTTTCCATCACACATCACACACTTGCCTGGGGGCTGTAGACCTTGTTTACGGAGATTTTTGGCATGGACTTTTCCATCATAGTGGGATTTTGCCACAACTTGAGAGCTAAACACCATGTTGCACAGCTCACAGAACTGGTCCTTATCCATCGTCATGGTACGCTGCAAAACAACAGGAACAAGACTGAATTATCAAGAGACAAATATGTGTTTCCTGAGGTAGTTTGTAAAAAAAGAATAAAGAAGAAAACAAGATGGCATATGACAATCCTTTAAACCTTTTGTGTACCTCCTATGAAATCATATCCTACAGAGAAGGATAAAGATATGACCCTCAGACTGTACATAATAACATCTCTCAAAGCGTGCTGACCTGCGGTCTTGTGGACTCTTGGATCTTCTCGGTTCTCTTGGCCTGCAGGTACACTCTGAGTTTCTGAGCATGTTTCTTTCCCTGCAGTTGGGGGATAAACGAGAGACATTATTACAAAGGCTCGGACCTTGTTAGCTCATTGAAACGGCACCACAGTTCCATGAGTAGCGCCTGGAAAGCAGCACACACCTCGTAGTGGGACACTCGCTGAGATTCGTAGAGCAGCGCAGCATCACACACATGGCAGTGGTCGTACGTGAGGAGACTCTTCAGCAGCTCCTCTTCACTCTTGTCTCCTGTGAGGCAGAATACTGTTACAGCTGAGCCACAGAGAATAACGTGAAGGATTATTTTAACATGATTAACAAGCAACAGGCTACTAAATGATCATATCTCATTACATTCATTAATTGTAATCGCTATTAGATTGTAAACCAAAACCAAAATAAAATCGGACTGTGTCTCTACGTGAGCTGGTTGTGGTAAATATGGTGATCAACTAGCTTTTGTAGAATTAGAAGCTGCAGAATAAAATGCTAATACGAACTTTTTTCATTATTTGAAAACGTGAAAGGTCACAGAACAAGACAGCAGCATAAACAGCTGTGCATGCAATATATACTGTAACAACATTACCAGGAAATGTATAAATTATATTTAATTCCACATTTAATTAAGATGTACCAACACCATAGGACTGTATTTAAAGTAAGTCGAGTTTATTGTTAAACATTATTTGTATATAAAATAAATCTGCCAAAATCATTCTTTTGGATAGGGATAGACGTTGTGCTTCCACTAATACAATTCCTAAATTGTCCAAAAAAATACTACTTGAATTATTCACACTCAACTGTAACCTCCTTCATAACAGTAAAACCTTTTAGCACTCGTAGCGTTTTACTACAATGTGAGAAATCGTGGTTTCATGCTTGACTGAAATATGTCTGCATTCTTTGTATGCAGAAATATCACCCAGTTTGTCCTGATAGCATCAATAATGTACATTGTGCTCTGCATATTTTTTTACTTCAAAAACATTTTTAACCAACAAGTAGCAAAACTGCGAAGAAACTATTTGAGAGTTTCAACTTTAAGGATTTAACTAAAATGTCATCAATGCATAGGAACTGAGATGTTACTGTGATTTGTTTGCCATCCTTGCTCTAAAAATAAAATCTTCATAAATAATAACGGTTTGTTCTGTGGTTTGACAAGGTGTGTTGCATTGAGCTAATCAAAGAACATGATGGTGAGGAGTGGAAATGTATGAATACAACGAAAATGACATATTAATTACCGAATTGCACAACAATTACCTTACCATATTAATTAGGCTAATACAAAAAATAGTAAGACAGTTAGTGTCTCAAATTGTTTTATATACACAAAAGAACTCCAAAATAAATATTTATATTTCTGAGGATCTATTGTCACTAATAAATGATTTACCAAATATGTTAAACTATTAAAACAACAATTAATTAGCACTTTGATTTATACAGCTGACATATTCATATCTGCTGATTTTTTTTTCAACTCACATGCTTGTCTTGAAAGCATCAACTATTCTGCTGGTCTTAGAGATCAGCAGCATGACAGCTGATCAGCTGATGGGGGCCAAATTCCTTAAAAAATCATTACCAAGAAAGATTAAAAGACTGAATTGTAGATTCCGCAACAAGCTAAAGCTTTTCAATCCATTCTTTTGATATGTACATATGCACTGACAGGATTTCTTTTTTAACAATACAATGACAATAAAGAAATGCAATTTAATTGACTGAATCAAGTCAGATAAACCATTACCAACTGTTGCCAGGGAAACCTAATTTAACGTCAACACTGAATGGAATTAACATTTGGTGGCCTATGCTAGCTTCCAAAAAAGCTAACCTTAACCCGTGGTTGACATATGACTAAGGTTTACAGGGAGCTTGGTTTTGGGCGTATGCTGATACTAGCTTGCAAGACAATTGACGTTAGCAACTGGCCAACCACTCCCGGACCTCTAGAAACAAATAACGTTAATCTTTTGACTTTCTATAGTTTCACTTTTAGAGTTGTCCAGCAACCCAAAGGGCTTTTATTTATTATTATTTGACATGTCATATACGACCGGACCGGTTTCAGAAGCTCTACTGCTAACGTTACACAGTTGACGTTAGCGCATTTAGCTAAGCAGCTAGCTCACTCTACTGTTGAGCCTGCTAGCCAGTTAGCTAAAGAAGCTAAATGACACCGTATGGCTTAATGTTCACGTTGTAGACAAAACTCACCTTCAACCTGGGCTCTATCTGTTTGAGTGTTTATTACTTTGTCAGCACCTGTGGCAGAAGCCGCGTTAGGGGTACTAGTTGTGTTATTTTGAGCCTCTGACTCCGCAAGCAGCGGAGTACAGACACTTCTGTCGTCCATGTTTTGGCTAAGCTGCTAGGTGCGGGCGCAGTGACGTCACAGTATTATGGAGCCCATCCCGTGTTTACAGAAATTCACTTTACAATATCTGTATGTTTATAACAAGACTGTACATTCTATATACTGTACATTATACTTTAACACATTACCACTGAATTAAAATACAATAATATGCAAAAAATAATATGTAAATCTTATACTTGCAGTTAACACATTTCCACATTTAACACATTTCATCAGGGAACGATTCCCAAGAACCGATTTACGTATGTTTTCTATTAGATTAAGCTCGTAGGCCAATTATCGGTAGATACATTATGATGAGACAAAACAAGCGATTTAATATTTGAAATAGTTTATTTTCAGCCCCTGATTTTTTTTCTTTCTATTTTTTTAATGGTATTGTTGTTGGTTAATTCCCTTATTTATACAGAATTTACATTGACTGATGATTGAACGGACAATTCTCAGAAAAAGGTCAATTTTAAATGTATTTATTAATAAGAAATACAAATTAACCACACTTGATTTAATGTATCGGATACACATGACTGAGATAAAACATGAATAATTGTCAAAATATATTTGATAAATGAGAAAAATAAATACATTATTTAAAAAAAAAATCTACAGTAAAAATGTAAATAAAACAACTAATATCATTGGATTGCGGTCAATATGCCTTCTGTGCATTCTTGCTCAGTGTACCAGCAAACCAAGACATTGAGCCAGCATGCAACCTTAAACCAAAACATCAAAATTGAACGCACTCATCATGGATTTTAATATTGTTTTTCTACTTCTTCACCAACCTAACTTCCATTTACTATTCACCAAAAAAGGTCATATCAAAATAAATACTTTATTTTAGGACATTACAATTTCAACGTTCGTCACAGGTGATATCCATGTAATGTTGGAAAATAACTTAAATACGAGATCAGAGGATCCACATAAAACATTTTTCACATCAAGACAAAGACGGCGAAGAAGGATAAGATCATTATAGGTAGAAAAGCAGTGTAGAGTGGAAGTCTGTCACTTTCTCTTCTGGAGCTCTCTTGCTAATGCATCCAACTGTGGAATGAAATACATCATGACATGAGAGTCAGACACACTTAATGATATAGCCATAGCATACTCTTTGTTGTTATATATACAGTGTGTACTGTGTAGCTATGTATACATTATTGTAACAGGGGTGGAATCTGTGTATATGTGAAGACCCATTCTTACAAGACGAATGAATCCAAATAAAAGTATGTTTTATACAACCTGAATAAGGAACTGTTTACTTACAATAATGTTTCTCAGTATGCTTCTCCTCTGGGGTCTCAAGTAGCTGCATTCTCCGGCCTCACACAGCTTAATCTCCTCTGAAATCTGCACATGAAAGAAGAGTATAGAGGTAAAGGTTATTTTTATTCTCAACAGGAAATGTTGGGTGAATGATAAAACTATCCTGACCTCTGACGTGCTGAAGGAGTCCAGCTCCCTCTTGCCTCCGGGGTACCAGCCATGAGACCAATGCTGGGCGCTGGACAGCTGAGCCCCGACGCAGAGAAGCACCCCGAGCAGCAACACCAGCCGAGACACACTCATGATGTTCCCCCTGAAGGAAAATACTCCATTAGCTCTGACCACAAGAGAGTATTATATTTGAGCCTTTGGTATCTGGTTTAGAAAATCAAATCAAATTGCAAAGTGTTTAAATACTTTATCAGGTTCATTTAAATGTGGAATAGCTATTCTGTAGCAAACACTTTAAGATGTAAATGCAATTTGATTTTGCTGCAATACAAATGTATCAAACGAGATTATGCTGTGTAGAAAGTAAAGCTGTCTGTCACCAGAAATGGTATATATTTAGCCGTAATATCAATACAAGTTGAGTATTTGTTGATTAACAATTTGAATCTTTCTTTGCAAGAATGTTACTGCAAGTTTCCTTTACATTTCATGTTTACATTTGAGCTTATTTAACTGTAATAATGTCAAATGTAAATGTCAATGACTTGCTTACCATCAATAAACCAAATACGGTTAAACATTTGTAACATTTTAAGAATCATTTTAGGGACTAATGTATTGCCCTTAAAAATAAATGTTGCCATTACATCCTTTTTTAGTAATGCTATGAAATATATACAGAGCTTTCAGGCCTATTGTTAAACTTCTGAAAATCACTAAGCTTAAAATCCAACTAAGAGGCACCGAGAGGAGTTAAAGCTCAGTCTCTAACAAGATTCATTGTTATATTCCAAAAATAATAATGTATAATTTAGAATAAACAGAAAGCAGTAAAAGTATATAAAGGTACAAAAGAAAGTGTCCTTACCTTAGTCTTTATCACTACAGGTGTCCCTTGACGTCCTGACAGAAGCTCCCTCAGCTTTCCTTCAGTTGTTCGGCTGTTGAAGATATCTCACAGTTTCACAAGTGCACGACTGTACAGACTCTCTTCACCCTCATACTCCTCCTGAATATATATGTACCCCTCCAAATGCACATTGCCATTATCAGCCCCGCCCCTCTCTGACCCCTGTGGCCCCTCTGTTCCCCGGCGGTGAAAGGAACGGCCCCCGGGGACAAGAGGTCCAGGAGACATGGCCAATTGTAATTATCCCCTGCAAACATGCTCTGACACCCCTGAGATGTACGTCTGCTCACTTGCATCACACGTATCTACGTCCAAATACTGACACCCTGGCTGAATAACAAAACAAATAATTCAATGAGCAGATTAAAGTCAAACTGTATCATCTAAGTAAACTATTTCAAGTATAACAAAGCACATTAAGAGAAATTCTAAAAACTGAAAAATGTCTCAATGGTTAATTCACTGCATACTTTCTACAAGTGGAAGAACATGGCCACTTCGACATAACTCATGAAATTGTGTACATGAAAATGAGTTTTAGGAAATACTGGGGCTCAAAAGTTTCTGAAATCTGGGGCCTGCCAAGAATGATCGTTATCTAATAGCTAGTAAAATTGTATTTATATTGCACATTTCAGTCTACGTAGTTGGAAGGAAGCAAACACTGTATAGTGTTAACAAAAAACACAAGACATGATAAAAGAAACATTTAAAACATTGAGATTAATGAATCCACATTTAAATGTTTAAAGTCAACAACCAAGCAAAATTAATTTATAAGATTAGTGAACGGAAACAAAAGATCATAGAATTAAAAAAAAAAGCGTATACATAATGAATAACCATCAACCAGACTATTTAAGGAAAAACTAAAAAGGATTTTTCCAATTGATTTTAAAAGGATGATTGAATAGCTATTGCTCAAAGTATTAAACCGTATTGCTCAGATCCCAATTACAGGAGTCTTTGTCAGAATGAAAAACTCTGGAGTTTCAATTTCCTCTCTCAAGGTCGATGTCGTTTTGACCGCATCAACCCACCACACATCCTCACTTTAACCTGAATGACCCTCTCAGTCGCTGGCATCTGATGACAGGGGAACAAACAGTGGATCCCTGATGAGATCCATCTCAATTAGAGGAGGAATTTCCTTTTCAGAGTTTTACATGCAGGAGCAGCTCTGACTCAGGAAGTGAGTGACAGCGTGACGAGCTGCTGCTGTTGACTCAGGTCAGCTGCCCGCCTGAGTGATGAGACACGAGGCTGGTGCTGTCAGGGATTGGTTGAAGAGAGAAAACTCCAACATGCGTCACTGATGAGACCACCTGTCAATGTGAGGCTAGAGGAGTAACCTTCAGAAGTCTGTGAATTAACATTTACAAATTAAACATACAGGGATAGATAGCTTTATTGTTTTCTGCAAATGTAATGTTGTCACGTTCTATTTATGTCTAAGGTCTGAACATCCTGTCAGCTTTTATTCCGTTCTGAGTTTTCACAGCTTTCATTCAACTCATATTTCATCAAGCTTGTATACTTTATAATAGTAAATATAAATAATAGTAAACTAAATATATTACTGAATTACCACTCTCTTGATTTGTTCCACACAAACCTAACTGGGCTTGACAGTAAGAGCTTTGTCAATTACCATTAAAAATAGTGAAATACTGCATAAAAGAAATCAGTTGCTGGCCTCATCAAGAATTCTGGGACCCCCACGGACACAGACCCTTATATCCTCCAATGGACATTTTACATATATATACATTGTTGTGGAATATTTTCCAAGGCCCATAACTTTGACCCAGTGTATCAGTTCAAACTGTCCTGACTGAGCACAGGCACCTGTAACCTTGGCTGCTGTGCTCTCAGTGTTTTGTCTCCCTGTTCCTGCCTGTTGGCGTCAGCTGATAGAGGTGTTATCATTCTATCTTGTTATGCAGCATGTTGATGATGCTCTCTGAACTAGCTAAATACATGGGTCTGGGGTAGAGTTCTTCAGAATTGACGTGGCAACTCTACCGTGGAGTCAGAACCTCTGACTCTTGGACTTGTGATGTGAATCTTCCGGCCGTTAACTCCAAATAAACCATCATGTGTTTGACATCAAAGCTACTGCTCCTACCGTGTCTCCTTCCTGAGTCGGTGACTCCCACTACATAGCTACACAGAAGTTTCCTCTACATACATCATATATATAAGTAACATCTTTGTGATCATCTTTAACAATCACAATTCTGCATTTTCTGGACAATACTACTTTAAAACTGCACAGCTTTTATATTACGATATATGTTTGCAAATAATTCTTATTGCATTACCCTTGTATCGTTTATTTCTCCTTTTTCAGATATTGTATTTGCTCTTATTCTTACATTTGTATTCTCTCTACTCTGTTTATGTATGCACCATTATACCCCAAAGCAAATTCCTTTGAGCTTCAAAAGGGATACTAAATAAGATTAAGGAACTCAGAAGAGACATAATAAAAAAAGGAATGCTTAATATCAAAGAAGCAAATGCAGAGATTTCCAGACTTTGAATAAAAAAAAAAGTTTTTTCACATAAATGATTAAATCCTACATTTCTATAAACTATAGGAAACTATAGAAAGGACCTCAGAAGACATTATTCAACTGGCTGATTAGTCTTTGTGAGGAGTAGACTTTAAAATCAGGGCAGTGCCCATTTTACACCATCATGTTGTTTAGGATTATACCTTTCCATTTCTATTTACAATTAAGCTATTCAGTGTTGCAGTGCTGGTGGATTAAAGCCTACAAACTAATATCACATCTATTTAATAGTGATACTACTTAATATAATAATGATCTTTTCCTAAATGTTTAACAGGTATTACTTTCCGCTCGATCATTTCACCAGTAACCCTACATGATTCCTTGATTCATCCGAGCAAAACACTCATTAATATTTGATGGGGGTGAAGGGTTAAACACTGATTGATACCTGTCAAGAGCAACACTCAGGAGGACCGCCTGATCTATAAAGTACATGAACGACCGGCAATTATTTTGCACATCTACAATTGGTCTTCATCGAGGAGTGAGCTGTAATGATCCTCAGGTTGTCATGATGGAGCATTAGTGTCTGACGTGTTACTAACATTTAGCATTTAAAGACATAAGAAATACACACTTGATAAAATCTCAAGCACTTTATTAGGTTTGAACAGTATCTTGCTTAGAAAGGCCATTTGGCATTATATAATTATATATAATTTTGTCATATATATAATTATATATACATATATTCAAATGTTGAATAACAAAACACTAGAAACAAACATTGGCAAATTAAAAAATAGGATTTTCTTAAGACAATTATACCAAATTAAAAATGGCCAAAACAAAACATCTCTAATACATTTTTAAAATGGTCCCGATACAGTTCAATATACATCTTTTTATTCTTCAAAAAGAAAAAAAGAAGGGGGGGAGAAGAAAATATAATAAGCAAGGCAGCAGGCTGGAATGAAATATAAATAACCTTACATTATGTACAAAAGGGAGTGGGGCTGTGACCACTGGGGGCACATGGTCCAAGGACAAAGTGAAGGAAGGAAAGGGAGCGATAAGTGGACAGCAGTGAGTGGACAAGGACAGGAGACATAAAGGACATAAGCAGGTGGAAAGAAGAAGAGAAAAAGTTGGACTCTAATCTTCCTCAAGTCAGACTATTTAGAAATGGAGACCTATTTAAATTTCTCGGGGGCATTCAAAACACTCCACTGGGGAAAAGCTCAGAGATAAAGGGACGTGGAACAGGGACAACCGTCTGATTTCCCTCGGAGAAGATGCATAAAAGATTCAATTTAACTGTGGTGGGGAAAAACTTAACGATTTGTGTTGAACATTTGGGTACCCACAATTGATTACTTATCATGGATACCACATGTCATTGATATGGAATGATATGAGGCCATACAAATACAATATTTATTTTAAAAAGAGGCCACAACATTTGTTTCAACTGCACAATTGAGGAGTCTACGTATTTGTGACTACAGGGAGTGTGAAGGATGACCAACCATGTCTTATTTCTGGCCCTATTGATTTGTCATCAGAGTAAGGAAAATGCTCAGGACAGCTTTTAGGATGACAGCGGTTGCATCACAAACTATATGTAACGGTTAGTTTTAAACTACAAGTGAGGCACTTTTTTTCATATTCACTAGATCTGCAAAATAGCGGGTCTCATGGGATGGCACAGTGTCATTTTTTGCTGTCAAATTCAAAGTCGCATTGATCCAAACACACACAACAGATAGATTAGCTAAACAAAAAGCATCCCCTTCTCTATTTAATGAAAGACCCAATATGTGACAAAGTAGATAAATGAGGAGCATAACGGCACCTAACTAGTAGTGCGGGCACTTGTGATGCTTTGGGGGAAAAAAGACCTGAAAGGAAAATGACGATGCACAAACAGCCAACATTTCAAAAATATCTACTTTTACGTCCCTGCAGGGGCCTTACAGAAGGCTTTGAGACCTGAAAAAAGGCTCTTATATTTCAATATCAAGGCCAAATCATCATCCTAACCTTTTCTTTCATTTGGTTCTGTAATTTTAAGGGCTTTGCTTTTGGTGCAAATAGTGCATGAGTGTTCAAACAATCACTATTGATGCAAATCACCCTTCCTAAAGAAGATTCAGCATGTACTTTTAATGACGTTGTCCACCATCAATAAATGAGTACTGATTGTGCTCCTTCCGTTGAGAAAAGTCATTCAATCCGGGTCTGTTAGTGTGATTTAGACCGTTAGTGTGGGTTGCAAATTGTGAACGATTTATTAACAAAATGTTTTTTAATATCATAGCAATCAAATCTGTTAAAATCCAGGCAAGGCATGATATTGGAGTACTCTCCGTTGCTGGGGTTTTAAATCTTTGAACGTGAGTCAGCGCTGCAGGTGAGCTTGAGCTGAATTTGCTCGATTTATAAGTTTAAACAATCCAGCCGTCGCTCATTTCCTGACGGGAGTTGACATTACGTGACCCGAAGCCCAGCGGTTAACTGACAATATCCATCACAACTGAGTGCATAGCCTCAATTGCGGCCTCATCTGAAAAGAAACCCACACCGTAATCCAAGTGTCCTCACAGGACAGCCATTGAAAATAAAATCTGAGCAAACATGGCATGGCACCACCACTATTTAAGTAACAAAGTATCCATTTTTAAGGAAAATGTTAGCAACAGCATTCAAATTATAAGAGACATTCTTCGGCATCAGTGTTCATGGTGGGAAAACAAAAACAAGGGAATTAAAAGTGTGACAGTACAGCGTAGTGATGTGAGGCTGATATAAAAGAAATAGTTCATTCAGGCAGACTCAAAATAAAACCTATATAGAAAAAAAAACTCAATACAATCTACAAGAAATACTGACGTGCGTCTGTAAACTAGAAAAGAAATATGTCGGGTATATGATCTGTTGATGATGCAATAATGGAGGGATTTGGCTTGTCAGCATGATCACCAACGCTGCAGATACTGAAACAGACCATACCTTTAAAACAAGAAGCCCGATTTCCTGTTAAAGCAGAGTGTTGGTAGCAGATCATTAAACAGTAAACTGGCTTTAGTCTAGTGAATGTCTAGATATTGTTCGAGCTACTGAACTCTGCGAGGGAGAGAAGGACTTTGGCACTCTGCAGATAGAAGACAGTGTCTTCAGCTGCAGCTCAAACAAACACACATTCAAAAGAAAGAATGGCTCCTGGTATTCTGTGTGTGTTTCGTGTGTCAACCTGAGTCAACGAGCTACCTCACTCCAATCGTGAGTGACCTTTGAACCCCTGAAACTTTAAAGGGGAGGAATTTAAGTGGCTCGATAGATGGAAACATATCTGTGTGAAGGATAATGTGTGTGTCTAGGAGTGAAACACAGACCAGGTTTAGTCTGTAAATATTCAGGGTTCTGCTACAACTCATGTTGCTCCAGCGCGGCTCTGGACAAGCCAACAATGTTTTAAGTCTCTGTCCCTATAAAGTAAAAGAAAATCCAAACCTCATTACCTTGACTCTGGATTGTTTTGACATAAGCCTCCAAAGCATTAGATTTATATTCATATATATTTATATATACCAATAAAATACATTACAGGTGCCACCCCAAAATGCAGCCAAACTCAAAACTGTGTCTGAAACCAAAGTAATAAGATGCAACACAGTAAGTATATGTACATATGAAGGGGGGGGGGGTGGGAAGCAAATAAGGGGTTAAGGGCTGTATTAACAAGACCAATATTACAAAATATTCAAGAAGGCATCTCAGTTATTTTCTCTGTCCCACTGCGCTGCCCTGTCCTCCGGGCCTCTGTCCCTTTTCCTGCAGGCAGTCCCTCCCATCCACAGATCAACTTGTGATGAGTCTTTTTCTTTTTTTAAAAATCCATCAGATGGGAGGTTGCAGCTTTCTGCGTGGCGGTGTGTGCGTGTGTTCTGGTGCGTGCATATGAAGCGTATCGGACATCCATCCACGGCAGGTCCCTACTTGAAGTTGGCGTAGTCAGAAAAGGCATCGATGTACTCCTGGACCACTTTGTAACAGAACTCGTACTGCTCCTGCAGAGGTGTGGGGGGGGCACAGGAGGAAGAGTTATTTCAGTTGGAACTACCATTGGTGATAATACATTTTCATTAAAAAAATGTTTAAAACTAACAATGCTGTATTTCCTAAACCCTCTCCTGAGCTTGCACTATTGTTATTGTTTGCTTTTAATTGCTTTAATGTCTTGTATATATTCATATTGCATTGTTGAGGGCCCTGTGATCCAACTATACTGTAGTTGTGTATAGGACATTACACCTTTGAAATCTTGGAAGTTTGTTTATCCCTTGTACAACGGCTAACAGTGCAAACAGTAGTACAATAACACAGCTGTAGTTTGAGTATTATTGCATTGGGAACATTTCTAAATTCTCAGTTTGCGTTTATATGTCAAATAAAGGTGGATATCAACTCTAACGTAACAAATAACCACCAATCCACCGATCTACTAAAGCTAACTAACCCCTTTATGCCCGCAACTGAAATTGAGAAAACTTGCTAAAAACCCTTTGGCAAAAAAGTTTTCTTATCACTCTTTATTTAGTCTTTAGGAACCTTCTACTGTTTTCCCTAGCTGTTTACTTACATTTAGGAAACTTAAAGATACTTAGATATTTTAAGCCGTAAAAAAGATTCCACATGTTTTCAAAGATCCCGACTTTGACCATTGATAAGAAGTATGATTCTTTATGTGATCTAAGCGTTTCAAGTCATACTGTTAGAAACCTACACATAGTTTGTCAATATTAGATTTCAAGACTTTAGACCAGGGGTGTCAAACTCAAGGCCCGGGGGCCAAATCCGGCCCGCGACTTCATTTTATGTGGCCCGCAAGAGCTTGCAAAGAATATTATACGTTTATTATACGGTTACATGCCGCTTTACAGTATATCTATATATGTTTATTTTAATTAATTTCTTATTTTATAGTTATTTCTTATTTTTATCTTTGATTTATCCTTAATTGTATTAATCTGTGTGAATCTGTCCTGTTTTTCAATCTCACCCTGTTGCTGTTAAACTATCTTATCCTATCTTACAGAAGCATGTTGCCCATAAACTACATGTCCCACAATGCATCTCATTTTGTGACATGCGCACTGAAGACTGCACTGGGACGGTGGTGGCGAAGTCCATAGGGATTGGCTTGGCAACTGGAAGGTCACCAGTTCAAGTCCCGGAAAGACCAAGTGCTACCGAGGTGTCCCTGAGCAAGGCACCGTTCCCTACACTGCTCCCCGGGCGCCGTACATACTGGCAGCCCACTGCTCCTAACACTAGGATGGGTCGAATGCAGAGAAACCGTTTAGTTACATAGTACCTGTACTACGTAATGACAATAAGTTGAATCTTCTTCTTCTTCTTCAAGAGAGAGACTTACAATTATTTACCCTAGACTTCTGCTTTCAGACGTAGTTAATTATGAAGTTATTACCCTATCCAATAAAAATCCAATGCAGAGACAATAATATAATATAAATACATTATGTATTTATATATGTATATAGTTTCAACCGGCCCTTTGAGTGCAACCATAATGCTAATGTGGCCCACGATGAAATTGAGTTTGACACCCCTGCTTTAGACCAATGAGTAGAAAGGATGTGCTAATATCATCATGTATGAATAGTCTTGGAGACAAATTGTCTAATTAACGCGGTTCATATTGAATTAGTCAATCTTTCTACCCTTCTCTCTGCAAAAAGGTTAGTGCGTTTCCTCTCATGTTGAACTATTCCTTTGACCCTCCAGACGTATTGTTAAGCTTTCTACTGTTTAAAGACATAAATCCTATTCATAAACTTCTCCCAAAATACTCGTCAGTGGCAATAAATGACGCTTTTGGTATCTTAATAAAACTGTTGCTTATTGTGGAAAAAGGGGGCTACCACACATTTGACCAAGGTTCATTTTTCAAAGGAAGTAAAGCTTACACTCTTTCAAAGTATGAATTGCTGTCAATCACTCCACTATGATGAAATAATCCAAAGTAGTTTCCCATGAAGGGCCCTCACCAGTGTCTGCACCATGTGTGGTCTCTGCAGTCTGAGGCTCTTCACCGTCTGGAAAACATCCAGGATGCCCTCCGCCTTCACTCGCTCCAGGACTGTACTCAACGCACAGAAAGTCCCCGTCCGGCCCGCACCAGCACTGTGCGCACACACACACACACACACACACACATCACAAGCAACAATGTACACCTCAATATACACCCTGCAGTAAGCATGTTCAGAAATAACACGCACACAAGAGGCATTGTTGTGAGAGCACATGAGGAGCGTAGCAACATTTCTGGGAGCAGTTCAAATGTCACAAGGAAGAAGAGAACAATTCTCTTGAGCTGTTTTTTCCTGTGATATAATAGCTGCAACAATTTCCCAGACATACACTCACACACTCACACACTCTATTACCAGCAGCATTTCCGTTTGCAACAGCTATACAGAAACAAATAAAACTATATCATCATCTTAAGGGCCGGGGTTTTTTTTCCCCATTTGTTCTTACACTGGTACGCTAGTGTGTGTGTGTGTGTGTGTGTGTGTGTGTGTGTGTGTGTGTGTGTGTGTGTGTGTGTGTGTGTGTGTGTGTGTTTACCTGCAGTGCACAGTTATGGGATGGTTGCCAGACTGCTGCTGCTGCTTCTGCACCGCAGCAATTATGTTGATCATGCCTTTCCCGTCCGCGGGGATGCCCACCTCCGGCCAGCCGTGGAAATGGAACTGACGCACCGCTCGAGCCTTGTTCTCCTGTAAGAACAGACGAGGAAATAAAAGAAGAGATAAGTAGCTTTATTTCCACAATGCTCTGCGTACATATGCGAGACAAACTGAAATGCATTCAGTCCTTTGGGAACCTCTGGGTTTTCCAATGTGTTTTCCAAACTCCTCATTTGGGGGGTTTTTCGGCCTGGAATTTGACCCGAAGTTCGCGAAAAGAATTAGGATTTTCTGACGGATTCTTCTTCTCTCTCTCACAGGAATTTAGCATTTACGCTTACACCCTGTTGAATCAGCCAACAGGCCATTTCATCCCTTCAATTGCTTGAATATTTTGATATTAACATCGTAATCGTGGTTAATTGAATACAAATGATCTCAGATAGTTTAAAGTAATTCAATTTGCCAAAAGATATGGTTATCATAGCCTGTACAATCCAAATCTTGATTAAATAAAAGCTCTGTATAGTTCATGCTTCCTTTTCCCACAACAGTTAAGGAAAAAAAAATCAAATGTATAATCCATCCACTTTGAACAATAACTTGAATAACAATCTCAATGTAAGGAATATACATAATTTGTGATGCAAAACAAAACTGTGCAGAAAACAAAGCGTTAGTGTTGCAAAGATTGTGGCATCATGGTATTCAGGGCTTCAGACTACAGCATTCAAACATGTCTGCCCTCTGTTAGAACCTGCATTGTGTTTGTATTTGGAGCGTTTGCTTGCTCCACGGAGTCCCTCCTTACCCTGCTGTTGGTGACCACGAGGTCCCTCACTGTGTAGCTCTCGCTCTCCTCCTCCCTTTTAATCTCAATGGAGATGTCCCCATAGACCACCGCTCCATCGTTGGGCCAGTACTGAGCACATTTCTCCTGCAGAAACCAAAACACAGAGGGTCAAATCACCACACCTAACGACATGCTAAGATGTCTAAAACCCTACATTTTCAATCCTCAAGATGTATCAATATAAACTATTACTCGAATGACATCAACCATTAACTACATGAGTAAATAGTCTACTTTGTTTTCTAGAAATAACTTCTTAATGCTCAATTTGAATTATCTAGACTCTTTGTTGTTGCATTAAACCATTGAGTCCCTCATATTTCAAATGTTCTTCAAACTAGGGACCCATTAACGCTCAAGACATATTTTTCAGCGTATTACTATGTTACACAAGTCCGGTGTCGTCAAGTCAGTGTTGAGTAAATGATCTAATATCAATATTCTATTTTCAGCCTGCTATTGACCCGATATCTAATACCAGTGTTTGTATCTGCACACACGCACACACACACACACACACACACACACAAACACACACCTGGCCTCTCTCCTCCAGCTCAGTGAGCATGACTATGGAGCAGCTCCTCCACTCCCAGATCATCCTCCAGAAGTCCTCCGTGGTGTGCTGCAGGGGGCCCTGGCTCGCTATGTAGGAGTCCTTCTGACGGTAGCCCTGTGACCATATGCAGGAACAGACAGGAAGTGATGTCCAGGGGGGAGGGAGGGAGGGAAGAAGGAAGGCAGACTTTAAACACCCGATCGATTGCTTGCATTAATGAAATGATCAGGAGCTTTTACACTCACGTCTACGAAAGAGGCGTTCACGTAGTCGGTGTTCTCCTCTCCGCGCTTCACTGGGATTATCACTCTGTTGAATTCATCTGTTGGAAGGAGGAACATTAACACAGGGGCTATACAACTGTCTTTTCATCATGGCTTTCATCACTGCGTGTAGCCACACTAATAAACACATAGACCACTCACATGGAATGATCTGCAGGACTCTGTTCTTCTTCATGTTGGCCGGCAGGTTGCCTGTTCTCATTTTATCATTCTGGATCTTGATTGATGTCAGCTTCTAGAAAGAAGAGATAACTTGAAGTCCCCCTCCAGATATGTTTTAAAGTACCATAATGTCTTTGCTGTGATTAATGTATATGTTGAAACATGGTTTTCCAACAAAAAAAGTAGAAAACAAACTCTGAAAAGGGTCTGGAAGCACATCTAATATGTTTTCAAAATCGCCAACTAGAAGACATATCAGCAAGGTAAGAGTAGTGAGCATCTGTAATTCGTTTTAAGCATTTTTCAGCTTATTGGCTTGTCACTGCCACTGACTGACATTGCTCCAGGGTCTGGTTTACATCCAAACAGTCAATTTCTCTAATGCTTACCCTCCCTCTCTTTACCAACAAGTCTGGGCTGCGCTCAAGTTCTCAGCCTTTGCAGTTATTTGCATATTTGACAGCAATAAGCTTTCAAGTTGAATATCAGATTTTAGGGCAGACATCTCCACCCACAGTAGAATAATGTGAAAACACCTTTCTTGTGACAAATTGTACACAGATACAAGCCATGTTAGTGGACATAAACATTAGAAAAATACAGTTTTGAGTCAAAAGGATCTCTAATGCCTGGGACAGTAGCAGTTAAGATATTTCGTTTTTGTTCGAGTGCTATGAAAACATCACACGCACCTTGAATTCAGCCTCCAGCCCGCTGCAGCCAGCTCCAGGAGCGGGGGCGTAGAGTTTGGCCAGATGGGACTCCAGAGAAGTCACCTCCAGCTCCGTGTCTCCGTACAGGTAGTGCTCTAACAACGCCTGGAAGATGAACACGTACTGCATCTGTGGGGCGGAGGAAGAAGACGTGAGGAACAAGTGGAAAACATGGCTCTGAAAACACTGGGAGAGACCATGTGACTCACATCAGTCTGCACCATCTGGCAGCGCTGGGCTCTGATCCTGGTGACGAAGCCGAACACATCCACCTTCCTCTCGGTGTTCATCATGTCCAACATTGCATCGATCACAATGAAGGTTCCTGTCCGCCCCACGCCCGCACTGACACACAGAAATATGAAGCAATTAAACAAAAACACACACAACCAAACCAGGAGAAGTGAGAGTGTAAGCTGAGCTGCACTCACCTACAGTGGACCACAATGGCCCCAGCATACGTAGGGTTATAATTCTTGACTTTCTTGAGGAACTTGAGCATGCCGATGGGGGTGAAGGGCACCCCGAAGTCTGGCCAGCTGGTGAAGTGGAACTGGGTGACGAGCCTCTGAGGCTTCTTACCAGACACGTCCCCCACCTGAGAGACAAGTAAAACCAGGTTATAGACGGAGCCACGGCACAGTGAGTGTCATCTAAACTTAAATGTATTTTTAGCCTGCAGTGTGTGATCAAAAGATGTTTGTAGACACAAGCAACACTAGTGTTTCCTGTGTGTGTGTGCAGGGTAAACACAGAATTAAACATAATATATCCTGGTACCAACAAAGTCAGGTTTCCCACACATAGACTTTACTTGGGCGGGCTGCCCAGGTATATTAACGGCCGCCCAAGTATATTTCACGACCCATTTAGGTTTTTTCTTTATTTAGTTTTTTCGTCTGCGACCATGTTCGATTAACTTGTGGACAATGATCCCTCACTCTACGCCTCCTGTACCCAGTCCCGGACTGGCCATCGGGAGGACCGGGGGGGTTTCCCGATGGCCTGTTAAAAGATGGACTTTTATGAATCCCTCGTGGGGAAATTGTTTCTCTGCATTTGACCCATCCTAGTAGGAGCAGTGTGCTGCCATTTTGAACGGCGCCCGGGGAGCAGTGTAGGGAACGGTGCCTTGCTCAGGGACACCTTGGTAGCATTTGGTCTTGCCGGGAATTGAACTGGTGACCTTCCAGTTGCCAAGCCAACTCCCTACCAACTTCGCGACCACCGCCCTTAAGTGGCCTGCCTCACACAGGGTGACTGGCTGTCTACATGATGTGGCCTGCCGACATGGCCACTGTCATACAGATCATAAATCAAAGCCCTTGATTGGTCTCTGTGTGTCATTCAAGCTCGGGATAACCTCAGCTCAGGTGAGGTAAAGGACTCTCTGAGTGTTTAGATAGTTAACTTAGTCTAAGTTCTCAGTGGGTCTCAAACGGTTTGGTCACCATTTATGTAAACACATATTTCCATTTGAGGGGGTAGTGATTAGTCAAATATGCACGAATAATTTAAAAAAAGTTAACTAGGTGAAAAAAGGTAAGATACACTTTTAAAACTTGTTGAGAGCTAAAACTAGTCTTTGCTACCGCCTCAAAGAGGAGCAGGGGGAGAGGAGGGAGACAGGAGAGGCTGATTCAGGAGCACAGACAAGCATATTTCAGATCTGTGGGAAACACTGAAAGTATTACCTGCTGGATGCAGAACTTGCGGATGGTGTAGTCCACCAGAACCATCTGGTCCTCGACAGACACGCGGATGTTCCCGTATGTCCAACAGCCCTGGTCCGGCCAGTACTGGGCACACTTACACTGAAACACAGAGAGAAAGATAGAAAATTGAGCAAATCAAGCCTCAACTTATTCAGTAATGGGAAACGTATACAATTGAGATTCAAATGAACTAGGCTGTGTCTATGACAGAATGTGTTTAGTACAATATCTAGAGAGGTTAAAAGGGAGAGTATTTATCTTGATTGTTTTGACGTGATGAAGAGATGTCTGCCTTCTTCAATATAATGGCACTAGTTGGCCCTCTACTTACAGTGATCAAAGCGCCAAAAAAAAACACTCAAGGCTAAAGTCTCTTTCCAAAAATCATAACCGGTTTACTCAAGATAATCCACATATCTTGTTGTGGGCAAATCATTTAAGTAACTATTTTGTGTCATGATGTCTGGAAAGAGACAATGCTCTTCAAACATGTTTGGTTTGCCATCTAGATCCATTGTACTTGAGAAAAGGCAGACATCACGACCCATATCTCCAGGACAAAAACAATCTAGATAAATAGCACTAAAGGTCATTTTGGGTTATCTGTCCCTTTAAGGCGACTCATGACTTGAAGACTAGTTATGCTTGCCCTCACATAAGAATTTCAGAATCAGTTTTATTACCAAGTAGGTTTACACATACAAGGAATTTGCATTAGTTTAAGTGTTGCATACAGAGACACAGAAAGAATACGTAACCAACAATTTAAATAAGAAAATAGTACGATTATAAAAAGCTAAAACTAATGAAACAGATGAAAAAAAAGACAATCTTTTCCCACAAAATATAGTTCTGTGAACATACATAGAGGTTTCAAAAAGGTGCGCAGATTAACATACTTTACAGATAAAAAAATGTACGTTGCAAATAAAGACACGTATACATATATGGTGTCTTTAGAAGCTGTTGTATGATCTTATAAAACACACATCATCCCTCCCGCTCTCCTACCTCTTTTCTCTCCTTTAGATTGGTCACCATGACGATGGTGGCTGTGTTCTGCTCCCAGATCATCCGCCAGTAGTCGTTCACCGTTTCCTCCTTTGGCCCTGAGAGACAGAAATGGATGCAGAAACTCAGAGGATACATCAGGTAGTTTGTTTGCGAAATAAACCACAGCAGCCATTGAAGGCACAATCCTGTCCTTACCTTGAGCTGCAATAAACTTATTCTTCTCTTGGTAACCCTGCAACAGAGAGAGTGAAACATGAGGGATTAGGATGCACCACAAAATAGTTAGAGCAGAATTGACTCCTGAATATGCTTGTACAAACATTTATAAAGGAGGCGTTGATGAAGTCAGAGTCCGGGACCCCCTCTAGAGACGAGAGATGCACCCTGGAGTGATCGTCTGGGGGAGGAAGAAGCAGACGTAGTGAGAACAAGAAAATACAGAAAAGATGGAGCAATGAGAGAGCTGGACTTTAAATAACAGTTACTGCACATAAACACAACGCAGTAAATCACATTGTAATGATTGCCATCTGTCAACTGGACTGATAAATGCTTCTGAAAGCTTGAAACAGCAGACATGATTTCAGAGTGCAGCTTTATTAATGCCAGTGAGTGTCACAGTGTTGTCGCTCACATGGCAGGATGTTGACGTATCTGTTCTTTTCTTTATTCTCTTCCTTGGAAGCAGCGTCGACTGATGCCTGGATCGGGCAGACTGGCAGCGACTGAACAGAAACAATTAAATACATTCAGATAAGGGAGGAGGAGCAGACAGAGGATATCCGTTTTTCATTTCTCTCTGTGTGACCCTGCACAGCCGGGACTGTTGTCTGTATCTGTCCGACATATACATACAGATCAATGTTTTTTGTGTGAATGTGCTGCAGCAATAGGCTTATTATCTGAAACATGCAATTCAGTGAGATCTAATCATTTGGTTTAATAACATCTTGGAATCACCTTTACTTGACTTTGCTTTAATATATTTTGAATGTTAACATCTTGATTAAGTGTATTCTGACAATAAGCAACTTTTGTGAAGTTAGCTATCTCTTACAACTGTTATTAATTACTTAACCTGTTTTAGCGATAATTTTGGCAAACTATTTTAAGCATTACTTTTGCTAATTATTCAAAACAAAGTTTAATGTAATGTCTAAACTGTTTATCCATATTTCTGGGCTGACATGTTCAGTTGTTTATATTATTATAATTATTTAAAAAGTGTATCAGTTACTTTTGGTTATTTTACTTGATTGTAAATCCTCCTCTAGCTAATAAATCAAATCAAGTTTTATTTATATAGCACATTTATAAACGATTTTTGGTCGAGCCAAAGTGCTGTACATATAATAAAAATAGCCTACAGTAGAGACACTTTACAGCAAATACAACAGCACAGATTGTTCAGAATATCAGTATGAGAAAAACAACACCCTCTATCCTTAGACCCTCACATCGTACAAGGAAACACTTCCAGAGAAAACCCACAGTTTAAAGGGAACATGGGAGAAACCTCAGGGAGAGCAACAGAGGAGGGATCCCTCTCCCAGGACGGACAGACGTGCAATAGATGCCGTGTGTAAATCGAAGAGATAATACATTTTACAGCATATAGACCGAATGTTAGGAAATGCATGTGTCTGTAATAAGAAGATGAATCCACGAGGATGTCAGCTACAATCCTGAGGAAGCCATCAGGGAAGCAGCATGGCGAGACCCAAGGCAGGACCGCAGGTTCAGCCACGAATAATAGTTTGAATCAATAATCAATTTCTTTAAACTAACTATTTCAACTGCTCTGCTGGCTCGCTAATCAAGTTGCTTTATGCTTAAAATATATATTAAAAATAAATGACATTCAATTTGTCTAGATTCGATCAATTACTTAAAATATTCAAACTTTAAATGTCAACTGTTTATCTGTTTAACTTGTCTGCTGGCTTGCCAACTAAGTTTTGATGCCCTAAAAATCTAATTAGCAAAGCTTCTCTGCAGTTTTTGCAGATACCCCCTACCCGACTACAGTAACCCCTGGCAGGGACTCTCTCTTAATTAGTACACGGATATGTGTAAAAGGTGATTATCAGGCTAGTGTTATCAGAGGGTGTGTGTGTGTGTGTGTGTGTGTGTGTGTGTGTGTGTGTGTGTGTGTGTGTGTGTGTGTGTGTGTGTGTGTGTGTGTGGCGTACATTAAACTCCTCCCTGAAGAGCTTGTTGTCATCGGCCATGCGACGATTCATGTCTTCCTCAAGTTTGTCAACATGAAGGGGCGGGTACTTCCTGTTTGTGCTGGGGGAGCGGGCCAATAGCGGGACGCTCTGGAGTTCTGTGCCGGCGGGCAGGAAGGGAGGAGGCAGGAGGTGAGGAGAGGAAGCATTTGAGGGGGGGATGAGAGACAGGTGGAGATAAAGAGAAAGGGGGTGAGATGCATTACATCAAGTTACTTCATCATGTGGGTGTCTGGTCTAAAGATGGCCACCAGAGGGTGGTGTGGTTCAACACTGAGAGGGAGCAGACAGCAGCCCTGATGGTTAGGTAATCACAGCGAACAAAAGACGCCGACATGTTATCTTTAGCAAGAAAATCAATCAAGTCTTATCAGAAACTAGTCAGGGGAGCAAGTTTGGTCAAGTCGGCGGTACATATTTGCACAAAACTAACCAATAAATGCTCAGTGACAAACATCTGCAGACACATACAAAGCACACGGTAATGCACGTGATTTACCTGTTTCATCTGATCTACCATTGGTCAGTCTGAAGGAGTTCGAATGGCTTCCCGCCTGCTTGTACTTCTTAAACCTGTCGATCATCACACATCATATTAATAGACACACACACACACACACTATATCTTACACACACATTGCTTTCAAGCCTCACAGCTGAATGCCAATCAGTCATTGCCATGGTAACAGGAGCACCTTAGGCCTTCGCCACAGGTCTGCAGCTTGTGTGCAGTCAGTGTGTAAGATCATCCACCAACCTGAGCATGTAGAGGATGATGATGATGAAGATGATAACCAGCAGGGAGGACAGGGCCACCATGACGGCTATGATGGGCATGTCATCAGACTGGTTGTTATCTACAGCAGACACGGAGAGAAGGCGAAGGGAGAATAAATGGCTTGTACAATGCTGCTTTTGATTACAAAAAAACTCAATTAAAAAGGGTGTTTCGATACTCGAGGCGAGTCAGTGTTTTGGTTCGACACAGATGCCAAATTATTTTGCCATTACCAAATGATTCTCTTATCACAATATTCCACACGAGTGGCTAAATGTTGATGTTGCATTAGTTAAACGATAGTTTTATAAAGAAATGATTAAATATAAACAGAACATAGACAAGTCATTTAACTACAATTTTACTGTTTTTATAAATATGCGCAAAAGTCACTGAAGCAGCCAGGAAAGAGTCCAGCATACTGTATGAAACCTCAGCAGAACAAGAGACAACTTGTTCATTAGTGAACTTAAAAAAGGTGCCGTTTTGTGAATTTTGCTAGAATTTGATCAGAGCAAAGCTAGCATGTTGCACATGTTCAGTTGCTATGCTAAGCTAGGCAAAAAGAGCTGCTGGTGTGGCTTTATGTTTAATGCAACATATAGCTAAAGGGATTTTATTATGGGTTACATTTTAAAAGTCGTACACAAGACAGATTTACAACTTGGTTACATGTTAGAAGCGAGTAAAGACAACTAGGCGAGGTTATAAAGTGATCTTTGCCTCTTATAACCCCAGCTGCAGCGCTCCTTTCCACAAAGGTTATCCATGTTAATATTTCATTGACTTTCCGAAGAAAAGGAAACACAAATGGACATGTGAAGTCCTTTTTGAGTGAACAGATAAATCACAGTTTAACCGGGGGGGGGTTGACCCTCGGCTTCTATAAATGGTTATACCAAAGATGACAGCAGACACAGGGCAGCCGTAAAAGCAATGCTAGAATATATGGGATGTTTGTGGTGGATCCTGTATGAATAATTCAGAGTGTAAATATTTCACACTTTCAGAAAAGCATGTGGTGCTGCTGTCTGGTGAAAAAGCACCGTGGTCACACAGGCTTAACACTACAAATTAAATATTACATGGGCCGAGTTATCTATTCTTTGTGAAGCCTGCTGTGGATTACAATAGCTGACCAATTTGTATATGTTTCCACCATACACGTGAGTTGAAGATAATCCTATATTCTTCCTGGTGACATTTCACTGCTGCAGTTAACACAAAAGACATGAGATTGGCCTGGACAACAACAGGAGTTTGGTGCACAAAAAGCTGGCCCCTGTGTGCGTGCTGATGCCTGGCCTGTAAGACACACAACAAAAGAAGAGATATTTCTAGAAAACTGCACCGTGGTGGTGACAATGCAATGACTAAATCAGCTGTTCCATGGGCGGACTCACAATTCAAGAAAGCTCTTAACGCTACACACAAAATGTGCTGCAAAGAATGCATCATTCCACTTCATGCTCCATGTGCACTTTCTGGGGGAAAGTAGTTTGGAACGCCGCCCAGTTTTGTTGCATTTTCAGGCAGAATTCCCAGGACTTTTCAGCGTTCACGCTCGGACAATGTGTACATTGAACAGAGCAGGAGCACAACAACAGGCGGTGGGTATCATGTGGAAGTGGAATCGACACAGCCTTGACGGATCTAGGGCCATCTAGAACAGCTCTCCATACAAGGCAGCCAATGGGGGGACAATAGACAATAACACCTAGGAAACATGAAGTGATTATGATAAATAATGGACAGACAATATTAACAGTGCTCATCTGTGAATGTTGACAAGTCAGACATGTTTTGCTCTGCCAACAATAAATGATGCGTCACTTATGTTTGGTTAGGTCGGAGCTATAGAATATTAAAAAAACACATCTTAGCCGTTCTTACCATTAGGTGTGCATAAACTACAGGTTAGTCTTATTTAACAAAAATGTTAACTATTTATCATATTATCAGTATTAGCCACAAGGTAATTATCATCTATTGAATAAATCATATACAACAGACAGCGGGATAACTCAGAACATACCTGCTGTTTTTGTACTGGATGATGAAAAACATTCTCCAAACCAACCTGTCACATCGGGTAGTGATTTGCGTATTTCTTTACAATCACGTAATGAATAATGAATGTAAAAGCAAAGTTGTGGGTCATGTTTCACTCACAGGGATGGTCAGTATCCCAACATAAAGCTGGAAGAATGTTTTTTTGCTTCACTGTTTGAATAACTAATTTCTTAATGCTCTTAATGTCTTTTATTTTTGTAAAGCACTTTGAGTCGCTTGTATTGAAAGGTGCAATATGCCTTGCCTTGTAATGTTAAAACCTAAACTCAAACGCAGCATTTCAGGACTACATAAACATCCTTCTTCAACACGGTTTTAACTTTAAAATAACAGCTTTTGGCTTTTTGTGTCTCGTTTGGTTTGGTGGATCTTTGATTTATGAGGACGGCTGCTCAAATGCAGGTATGTCACGTCAGGATATTTCCAGCGCTGCTACAAAAGGAGTCTAAAAGCAGGAACGTGTCCATCTATCTAAAATATTAACGGTGGACTCTTGACCAGAAAGCTCAAATGCTTGCTCTTCGTAGCTGCTGCTTCCAGGCTGCATGAATAACACACAGCTAGATGACACGCTTATGTGGTTCTACAGTCCACCATCAATCTGTGATGTTTATATATCCCACTAAGCCTTGTTTCCTTGTTGCTTCCCTTAACCTTTAGAGTTCTTCTGCTTTAGTTAAGCCCTGTTCAATGTAGACGTACAATGTGTCTCGAATGATGTGACGACAAGTGACGGTTCTAAATACATGCTTGAATGCATCCAAAATGTGTTGAGATTTCTAGCTACATTTAGAAGTGACACATAAGCACACATTAAATGACCTCCCAGCCATCTTTATAGTTTGCTCAAAGGAGGAAAAAAGCTCCTTGAGGCGGTTATACACAGCTGATCTGCCAGTGACAAAACACTTGGATAAAAACAACCACTACAAGAAGAGTCAACAAGCTAGTTTGTGTAGTTTTTCCAGCAAACCAAGACAAATCTTATCATGACACAATCCAGAAATACCTGGGTACAACACAACAGCCCTGGTGATTCCCCTCACTTCTCTGAATGACTCTGAACTTAATGTGAGAATGGTAACTGTGTGATTGCAGTACCCACGCCATGGTAAGTGGGAGTGTTTTTTCATTCAAGATAAAGATGAGTCACAGCCTCTCTGATCACAACTCGACATGTCTTTTCGCTTCACGATGTTCTGGTCTATTGAGGCTTAAATTGGTGGATTACTGTCTATCTCTGTGTATATGATTTGTCCCTTTATGATTAGGAAAAGGTGCTGCAGGATTCTAGTCCTCTTACATGTAGTGTTCGATTATAATGGTTTGTGTGCAAAGTGTTGGAGATATTGGTTGTCGACACAAATTCTAAAGCAATGTCTCTTTAAAGAAATCATGACGTGGTTAGTCGAGAAAATCCACAGACTTGTTGTGAATAGTTTCATGCAGGAACTATTTTCTCCTTGCCAAACTGCACATGCCAACTGTATTACAAGCATCTAGTCAAGGACAAGATGCTTGATGTAACATTGAAGATGTAGAAATTAACAAGCTCCTCGTCAACTGAGCTGTTACGTCGGCTAGCTCAGGTGAACTCAGGTGAGTCTCATCCAGATGCATGCTTCCTTCTTCGCAGCGATACATTTAGGAGTGTAGTTCGGTAGAAAGAAAATAGTTCCTAATGAAACTGCTCACAACAAGGTCTGTGGATTATGTCGAGTTAATGTGTCATGATTTATGAGTCATTCAAATGTGTTTTTGATGCACCACAAGCAAACGTCATCTAGAGAAGGCAGACATACTACAATTTTGGGGTAAGCTGTCCCATAAAACCGCTTCAGGGTGGACTTTCCCTCCAGATAAGTCAAGAGTATATTATGTTCTCTCACATTAAATAAACTGAGCACCCTGAATATACACTCACCATGTGGGCTGGTGTCTGAGGTGAACCCCATCCCGGGTTCTGTGGTGGTCTCCGGCTCCAAATTGAATATATCCTCATCGTCATAATCTGGAGTTGGGGTTTCTGGAGGGAAGGCCGTGGTCTCGTTGTCTCCCCCCGCCGGGATGGGAGGAGGGGGGGACTCGATGCTTGGTGGTGCCGCGGGGGCATCGGTTGGAGCCGGAGGTGAGGGGGCGGGGATCGGTAACAGCGCGGTGGCATTCGGACCCGGCAGTTGTACATCCTCCTCACCAGCTGGTGGGCCTGTGGTTGTTGTTATTATTGTTGTCACCGGGATGACTGTGGGGGCGAGCGTTGTGGGTGGGCCTGTGGGGGCTTGTGTGTGTGCCACTGTGAAGTTGAGGGAGGGAGCGGCAGGGGGGTCTGTGGGTTTGGCAGTGATACTTGGAGGACCTGGAAATTATAATGAAGAAAAAAGAAGAACATTTAAGTTTCTTAATTCAATCCTTGCAATTGTGAGTAAAGGGATTTCAGATAAGTGGTTCTTACTTGTGATGGGGACATGATCCTGGGCTGAGGCCCCGAGGGCGAGAGCGAGCAGCAGGAGCAGGGGACACACACCCATTCTGCCCTACATGGAGGGTGAACAACAAAAGGGACAAGAGGGTCAGACACAGGAACAAATCTCATTAAGTTCAATAACACTGGCTACCAAGGCCATGTCGTGTTGTTATGATGGAGTCAGGATTTATGTGCTTTATAATCCCCTATGTATTTATTCAATTCTTCAATCCTAATCCCACATGCTCATTTTAGGAAGGTAATACTCATTTGAAATGAAATACTTGCATAACATTAGCCTGTGTGTGACGAATGCTGGTTTACCTGAAGAAGCGAAGTTGGCATCAATCACTCATTCGCCCAGCGGGGTCCTAGAAGAAAAACAGAAGACGTCATTATTTTGTTTTGACAGTCTGAAAATATATGATTTATTTACTAAATCCTATCTGAATATTTTTGCAAGATCAGTATCAAGATGAATAATGTTGGACAGCTTTATTTTGAGACACAGACAGAAATATGAGGCCTGTTCAGAAACTAAAAATGTTAGTATGCCAAGTATTTTCCCTAAAAAAATTATTAATATCATCTGGCAACTTCTAGAAGAATCATGCCATGCTCATATGCCCATAAGATGTTTTTATTTTAAAAAATTGTTTAAATTAATTTAAAGTTTATTTAAAACTTAAAGGAGACCTATCATGCTATATTTGAATAATATATTGTAGGGCCATACCTATATAAAAAGGTATATGTATATGTTTTCTTTTTCAAAATACCAAACAGATCATGCATTTTAGCCATTCCTCATTTCGCTCTATTTTGCTCTCCTCCCCCCTGTCTTTGCTGCAGCTGATCTCGCCCCCCTGCAAAGGAGGGGGCCGAGTTAGAGAAGCATGTTACCATGCTGTTACCATGCCACGGCAACCTCTCATTCCCCTGATAGGTGGAGAGTTGCCCATATAGGCGGAGCTCCTCGTCACTGATGTCAGACTATTTTCAAATCTGGATCAGTCTGTATCAGATCCGTTAAAGCCCCGTTTTTAGAGATTTGGGTATGGAGGAAAAGAGAGAGGGTTGTGTTTTCTCGAGTCACATATTTTTGGACTTGAGACTTGCTTGACTAACATTGATAAAAGACTTGACTTGGTATTCATGACTTGAGACTTTACTTAAGCTTGAGACAGCTGACTTGAAAGGACTTGACTTTTTTTAATTAAATATTTTCGTTTTTGTATTGAGATATTACATTTAGTTTTTTCGAAACGTGATTGTGTGATTATAGCGCTGTGCGCGCAAACCTGGCAACCCACTAGACGGCAGGAGTGTCAGTTAACATGGCAGCTGCTAGCGTTACTCCAAAAATAGTCAAGTTTGGATTCAAGGATTATTTTGTCGATGACGGTAATCAGAAGAGAACAGCGGTATGCAGGGTCTGCAGCATAAAGATCAGGGACACGACCACCACAACATCCAACTTAATTCGTCACTAAAAAAAACCGACAGAGAAAGGTGCGTGCATGTGTTGTGTTAGCTAGAAAGCTAACGTTAAGTTTAAGCTACGTCAGACTTGGTTTCAAATCGATTAAGCAAAGAGAAGACAAAATGGTAAATGAACACTAGAATCGGCAAGGGATTCATTTTTGACTAACCCTGATACTGACGGGCTGCCAGGAGAGGGAGAGAGAGGAAAAGAGATGCCTCGTTTATTTCCCCTGTGTTATCAGAAGTTACTGTAAACTTTTGAATAATGTATCTACTTTTAGTAGTTTGTTTAAATGTTTTAATTATGTTGTTTTTGTTTGTAGAAGTGCATCATTCCTTGATTTATTGTAAAAATGAATCTGAACTTTTTGATCTGTTATGATGATAAACTGAAGCAATTTCAAAATGAACCCAATTAAGTGAGTTTGAAATCGTCCTACTTAAAGGAAATTATGAAGAGGAACAAGTTAAATGATTTGAAAATTATATCTATGTAGGTGCTGACGCTGTTGGCGGTTCTAGTATTAGCAGACATTTAAATTAAATATAGTGTAATGGCAAATGCCATATATGATTTTCTTACCTGGAATTCTGCCTTTTTGAACAGACTTTTTTAGTCCTAGCTATATTGTCTGCAGTTCTAGGGTTAATATGAATCTAATATGATTGTCATCGGTCTAAATTAGATTTCAAATGATTAACTGTGTATGTAATGAAGATCATAGTGTGGGTTGAATCCATTTTCATAACCACTGTCTTTTAACTGATTTAAATGCGGAAACTGGGCTTATTCATCAGAATTTTGTATGACCTGACTTGACTTGCTTGACCTGAGCAATGACTTGACTTGACCTGCTTAACTCTCACCACAGTGACTTGGGACTTGCTTGATACTTGTAGGTCAAGACTTGAGACTTGCTCATGACTTGCACATGTAGGACTTACTCCCACCTCTGGTGTTTTCTGACACTTGGTGAGTTCCCTGACACACATTCATGTATAAAAGGTACAGGCCCCCTTTAAGGAATCATCTATTGTTTGTAGCCTTTATTTATCCAGGAGAAATCCCATTGAGATCAACAATCTCTTTCTTAAGGGAGACCTGCAGCACATTGGTTATACATGTAAACATCAATACAACAGAAAACAAAATAGGACGTCATACAACATAATTTACAGGGGTACAATTTACAAACCTATTCATAATGACAGGTACCAAGAGTATCAAATATCATTTCATCCAGCCGAGCTTTAAAATGATGCAGGGGAACCAAAATGCTCAGTTTCCATTTTTTTTGCAGAGTGTTCCAAGCTAGAGGAGCTGCGCACATAAAAGCTTTAGTACCTAAATCAGTCCTTTGGCACATGTAATAAAAACACATCCTGGGATCTTAGGCAATAGCTACTTGTGACTCTCTGTGAGATCAGATACAGTGTTTCCCCTAGGTCAGGGGTCGGCAACAGGCGGGGTCCGGATCCGGACCCAGACGGACCCGGACCTATACGGACCTGGATCCGGACCCAGACCTATACGGACCCGGATCTATAATCAATACATTAATAGGGGATTTCAATTTTGACGGGGCGATTCTATTTTAACCGCTGCCGACAGGGGGCGAAAGAGAGGAGTGAACGATACAGGGAGAGAAACACAGAAGAAGAGACGAGACAGCGGCAGAGAGAAGCGGAGAGGAAAGTGAGTGAAGACAATAATTAGCGATACAGGGAGAGAAGCGGAGAGGAGAGTGAACAGGCGTGTTAGCGGCAGACAGGGAGAGACAAATCATTACACATGGTACACTCCAAGAAGAGGAAAATGGACAGTGAGAACAGAGCTTTTAACCCTGAGTGGACTCATTCATGTTCATCCTGCCCACTGGGAGCACAGAGCCAGTGTGTCTCATTAGTTCAGAGACCGTGGCGCTCATTAAAAGTGCCAAAACTCCACTATGAGACAAAACACAAAGTGTTTGACCAAACATTCCCTCTCAAGTCAGAACTGCGGCCACAAGAAATAAGCAGTCTCGGAGCCCGATATGATCAGTCCACCAGGATCAACATTCAAACTAAATATCGTTCCAGGGCAGGCTAACCGAGGCTAACCAATGAGCACCTGCATGTTTATGAGAATGGCCCTGACACCATTTCAGCCCAGATTTACAAACTCCTGGCAGGACAAGCTCAAGCCTCGCACTGAATTAAAAAAAAGTGAGTGAGGGACTGCAATATAAGAGGGAATGAAAGAGAAACTTTAAAACTGTTCAATTGTTATGATGATGTGTAAAGACTGATATTGTTCTATAATCGTCTGAAGCTGTTAAGTCATGATGTGAAACGGTTAACAAAGAAAAAGAAAAACTCAAGCTGCTGCTACACTTTATTGTATTCATCTAAAATTAAGCACTTTTAAGATGCACACATTTTCAAAAGCTATTTTATTTATTTTCTCTATGTTATTTTTAAATGCAGCCCGAGAGGAACATTACACATATCCACAGTATTTACTGTATAGTTCAATGTTAATAGACAATAAATAGTGTTGTTTTTGAATTGTACTTTCTTTATTTGATTGGCAGTCAGTTGTTGATTACATGCAGACGTTGATAAAGCTACAGGCTACTTCAATATATATCACACTAATTCATGAAGCAACTTAGACATTTTGATGTTCCGGACCTTTGCATGGGGACATTTTCTCTAACTGGACCTCGTTGAATTTTAGTAGAGAGAGGAGCTGTGGATTATTGTTATTGATTAATGCATCAGTGTTTCTTAGGGTCAAAAACACTAAACTCATAACTTAAAATGAAAGCGTTTAGTTTATTTAATAAAAGAGCACATGTTCAATGTGAAAAGTGACAGTAGATAGAGATTAGTTGCAATTTGGTGCAATTTAGGGCTGTCAAGTTAACGCGTTAATAACGCAATTTTTTTTTAACGCCACTAATTATTTTTAACGCGATTAACGCATGTGTATTTTTTGTCCTCGGCCGCCCCGTAGTTTCAGAGCGCATCGAGTTTAAAATACCATCTACAAGCTGATGCTGACAGCCCCGCTCCTGCCGCCCGCTTGTGGCAGACCACACTTCCACGCTCACCGGCAGGCACCGACTGGCCATCTGAAGGACCGGGAGGGTGTGTGTATGTGTGGCCCGAGCGAGCGAGAGAGAGACCTTACGTGCATTGTTGTTGTTAGCATCTGGTGCTAGCTAGCTGCGCTAACGGATATAAGGAGCTGTTTCAATGAAAACAGAGGAGCGACATTTCGCCACAACTGCGCCGAGCACTTGACTTTATGCAGGAAGCCAGACAGTGGGACATTGTACGAAAAGTCAGCACACTCAGTGCAACATGATTGCAGCGTACAGGCAGCTCCCGTTCGAGCATATGCCTTGAGACACACACACACACACCACACACACACACACACACACACACACACACACACACACACACACACACACACACACACACACACACACACACACACACACACACACACACACAACACACACACACACACACACACCACACACACACACACACACACACACACACACACACACACACACACACACACACACACACACACACACACACACACACACACCACACACACACACACACACACACACACACACCACACACACACACACACACACACACACACACACACACACACACACACACACACACACACACACACACACACACACACACACACACACACACACACACACACACACACACACACACACACACACACACACACACACACACACACACACACACACACAATTGTATGAGAGGTTCCAGGTTGAATTGAGGCGAATATTTGTAATGTTCAGAGGTTGTTGTGTTTAATATTCATGAGAATATTTGTCAT